AGTATGATGTTGCTGTAGGTCATGTGTCATAATATAGCCTTTACAATTTGAGGGTACATTCCTTCTATTCTAGTTTTCTTAGAGCTTTTATCATAAGTGTGTTAGGATCTTTCAAAGGCTTTTCTGCCATCTATTGAGATGATCAGTGGTTTTTGTCTTTGCTCTTCTATTAATGTGCTTATTAGTTTATTGATTTTCATTATGGGTTTGAACCACCCTGCACCTTGGGATGAAGCCAACTTGGCATTGGTTGAATGATCTTTCTGATGTTGTTGTTGGATTGGTTTGCCATTATTTTATTGAGGATTTTTGCATCGATGTTCATTAGGGAATTGGCCTTAGTTTCTTTTTGGAGGTGTCTTTGTCTGGTTTTGGGATGAGAGTAATATTGGCTTCATAAAATGAGTTAGGCAGTTGTTCCTTCCCATTCTATTTATGGAACAGTTTAAGGAGGTTGGTATTATTCTTCTTTAAAATGTCTGATAGAATTCAGCAGTAAATCCATCAGGTCCTGGACTTTTCTTTTTTGGGAAGCTCTTGATGCAGCTTCAATTTTTTTTGTGTTATAGATCTATTTCAGGTGATTAATATTCTCTTGGTTCAGTTTTGGGTGATTGTATGTTTCTAGAAATCTGTCCATTTCTTCGAAATTTTCAAATTTATTAGAGTATAGGCTCTCAAAACAGTCTCTAATGATTTCCTGGATTTCTGTGGTGTTTGTTGTTACCTCCTTTTGAATTTCTGATTTTACTGATTTGGGTTTTTTCTCTCCTCATTTTAGTCAAGTTTGCCAAGGGTCTGTAAATCTTATTTATTTTTTCAAAGAACCAACTTTTTGTTTCATTGATTCTTTGTGTGGTTTTTTTTGTTTCTATTTCATTGATTTCAGCCCTTATCTTAATTATTTCTTTCCTTCTGCTGTTTTGTGCTTTGTTTGTTCTTGTTTTTCTAGGAGTTTCAGCTGTAGTGTTAGGTCATTGATTTGAGATCTTTCTGTCCTTTTGATATATGCACTCATGGCTATAAACTTTCCTCTCAGGACTGCCTTTGCTGTGTCCCATAGGTTCTGGTAGGTTGTGTTTTCATTTTCATTAACTTCCAAGAACCTTTTAATTTCCTCTTTTATTTCATTAGTGACCCATTCATTGAGTAATTGTTGTTCAACTTCCAATTGTTTTGTGTTTTTTACTCTGTTTTTTTGTTGATTTCTAGTTTTAATGCATTGTGTCAGACAGAATGCATGGGATTATTTCTTTTCTTATATTTGCTGAGGCTTGCTTTGTGCCCTAAGATATGATCAATTTTTGGAAAAGGTTCCATGGCTGCTGAGAGAATGTATATTGTGCAGAAAAGTTGGATGAAATATTCTGTAGACATCAGCTAGTCCATTGACTATGGATGTGATTTAGTTCTAGGATTCTTTATTGATTTTTTGTTTAGATGACCTATCTGTTTGGTGATAGGGGCAGGTATTAAGTCTCCCACTACCACTGTGTTGGAGTTGTTATATGCTTTTAGGTCCTTCAGAGTATGATGGTGAAATTGGTGCATTGTGTGTGGTGCATATAGGTTGATATTGTTATTTCCTTTTGGTGTATTTCCCCTTTTATAGTATGGAGTGTGCTTCTTTATCACTTTGATCAAAGTAGGTTTGAAGCTACTTTGTCTGAGATAAGTATTGTTACCCCTGCCTGTTTTTGGGGACCATTGGCTTGGTAAATCTTCTTCCAGCCTTTCACTCTCAGCCAGTGTTTATTTTCTGTTCGATGAGTGGGTCTCCTGTAGGCAGCAGATTGTTGATCTTCTTTTTTAATCCAGTTGCAATTGGTGTCTTTTGATGGGAATTTAGTCCATTAACATTCAGTGTTAGTATTGAAAGTACGTGGTGATTCCCTGTCATGTAGTTGTCTTTGTTGATTAAGAGTTTGATTGTGTGTAGCTGAACCAATGCTACTCTTTACTTTCTTGCCTTTTCTTCTCCTGTGGTTTGGTATTGCCTGCCCTTTCATGGTTTTGTTTGCTTTTATTTTCTGTGTGCAGAATTCCTTGGAGAACCTTTTGTAGTGGTGGCTTGGTGGTCATATATTGTTGTAGTTTCTGCTTACCATGGAAGACTTTTATTGTTCCATCTATTTTGAATGATAGTTTTGCTGGGTAGAGTGTCCTAGGGTTGAAGTTATTTTCATTCAGTGCTTGGAAGACCTCATTCCATGCTCTTCTTGCTTTTAATGTTTTTGTTGAGAAATCTGCTGTGATTTTGATGGGTTTACCTTTGTATGTTATTTGTTTTTTCTCTCTTACAGCCTTCAATATTCTTTCTCTAATCTCTGTACTGTTGTTTTAATGATAGTATGCCATGGGGTAGTTCTATTTTGGTCAGGTCTGTTCGGTGTTCTGGAGGCTTCCTGTACCTGAATGGGCATAATTTTCTCTAGATTTGGGAAATTTTCTGTTATTATTTTGTTGAATATATTACGCATTCCCTTTGCTTGCACCTCTTCTCCTTTTTCAATGCCCATGATTCTTAGGTTTGTCTTTTGATGGAGTCAGTAAGTTCTTGCATTTTCTTGTCACAGGTCCCTTGATGTTTAACTAATAGTTCTTCATGTTTTTTCTTTAATTGCCATTTCATCTTCAAGTTCTGAGATTCTGTCTTCTGTTTATTCTATTCTGTTGAATGGCCTTCCATTTTATTTTGTATTTCTGTTTCATTTTTTTTTCTGAGGTTTTCCATATCTTGGGTTACTTCCTCTTTAAAATTGACCTTAATTCATTTATCTCTCTGTTTGTGGTGGTCTCAGTTTCAGTTTAGTGTTTATTTAGGGCTTCTATGATTTCATTTATTTGTTTTTGTGTTTTCTCATATTCTTTATTTTTGTCCTCTTGGAATTTCTTTAGTGCCTCCTGAACATTTTGTTTGACCATGTCTAGTAACATCTCTATGAAATTCTCATTAATTACTTCTAGGATTTCTTCTTTAAAGCTGTTCTGTGGGCTTCGTTGGGTTCCTTGGTATAGTTTATCTTTGTTTTGTTGGAGTCTGGGTCTGGGTATCCGTTTTCTTCATTTTTCTCTAAATCCTGCAGTACTTTATTTTGGGGGGGGTGAACAGTTTCCTTCCCTTTTTCTTCTTCTCATATTTCCACTAGGTAACATTTCTATCCCTGAACTATGTGTAATTTAATATTAGCTGAGTAACAATATTAATACTAACAAAACCAAGAGAGAAGGATAAAAAAGAGAGAGAGATGGAAAGATAAAAGGAATAAAGAGGAAAAGAGAAAAAAAAAACGGTAGAGATGGTGGATGATCAAACAGTAAACCATGCAGCAAATCCCTTAAAGAAGGGAAAAAAGTAAAATCTAAAAATTTAAACAAAAAAATCACCAGTTCTGGAGCAGAAGAATTACAGTCTTAGTTCTGCTGCTAGTTCTTTAGCATCAGACCTGTCTGTGTGTGTCTCTTAGGAAGGTCTGGAGCCTTCCTGTGGCAAGTGGATGGTGGGTGGGGTCCCACTGGCCTTCGGGTGGAGACCTTTAGCTGAGGGGAAGTAGCCGGCAGCCTTTATGCGAGCATAGGCTTTCGCATTGCCCTAAAGGGCACAAGGTCGTGGCCAAGTGGAGATCCTGCGTGTCTGTGGGAATCCCTAGGCCTTTGACAGGCTTTGGTGGCTGGCTGCATTAGAGCCAGAAATGGAGAATTGTGTGTGTACTGGGTCCCTGGCACCTTGGCCAGGCCGTACAGGCACAGCTTGCAGAACCGGGCGAAAACGATTGTGCACTGCATTGTGCAGGCTTTAGGGGCGTGGCGCAGCCAAAAGCAAAGAGATTGCCTATACCGCCAGTCAGCTGGGCGGACAGGGTAGGGCTGGGGAACATGGCCCAGCAAGATGGAGCTCCTGCAGGGATGTGCAGGCCTTGGGAGCGTGGCCGGCAAAGCAGAGATCATGCAGGGCTGGGGAGCATGACCCAGCAAGATGGAGCTCCTGCAGGGCTGTGCAGGTCTTGGGTGCGTGGGCCACAGAGCTCCTGCAGGGCTATGCAGGTCCGGGGGGTTCATGGCCTGGTGGAGATCATAAATGTCTGTGGATCCCTGGCCATAAGGGCTCATCCCATGGAGATCCTGCGGGTCTGAGGGTTGGGGGTTTGGGGTAGCACAGCCCTGATGGGGCAAAGGAGCAGGGCTGGAGGATCGGAGATCCCACAGCATATGGAGCAGCGGCTCCACGGGCCTATGGGGTGGGGCTTAGTGAGCAGCGCCTGCTATTCTTTTAGTATATGGTGCAGTGGAGAGGTCTCCTGAGAGCTAGGGGTTCAGAGTGCTGACGTTTCAGCTCTCCCTGGCATTTTACCTCATTCAAGCAAGTCTCCAGCTTCTTGTCAAAGTCCCTGGATCATGGAGGTCAGAAGGTCTGTGGTTGTGTTCCGGTCACCATCTTGGATCTCTCCTACCTATATTTTAAAAGATAATTTTTTACTAAATATATTGGAGGGCTGATGATAGAGAAATCTTGTAGACTGATGCAAGATACAAATCCAAATGGAATTGTACTTTAAAAAAAATAAAATTTCTGCTTTCTCAATCACAGTTTCCTGCACTGAGAGTCGTTTTATTTTTGTTTTTAACAAGGATAATTTATTGTGCAGTGTAAGAAAGCATATAAGAACAAACTCTGCAAAACTAATGGCAGGTTTTATAGATTATGCATTATAAAAGGAGTTAGTTGAAGACATTTTTAAACTAGGAAGCTCTAAATCCACATGTGCCAGAAAAGTACCTGGCATATTACAGACAATCAATAACTTTTTGTAGAATGAATGGATACTTTATGATATCAACATCAATCATTGTCCAGGATAGATTGGCAAATATCAAATTCTATCTAATTTGAAATTCCAGAGACTTTCTTAATAAAAATATCAAAGCAATGATGTTTTGACTGTTTTATATTTCTTGAAAGTAAACAATAAGAATTAATTAAATGCACTTTTGTTTTCTAGTGCTCAGCTTCTTGTGGTAAAGGTATAAAGCACCGTGAGGTGCTTTGCATTGACCAGGTGCAAGGGAAAGTACAAGAAAAATACTGCAGTCATCTACAGAAACCTCGAACTCACAAAACCTGCAGATCACCAAGATGCCCTTCATGGAAAGCCAATAGATGGAAGGAGGTATGTGATATATAATTATATCTGTCTTTTTGTATTTAAAAAGAACCTTATTCAACTTCTATTTTCAATAACCTTGAAAGTTTTACTTCTTTAAAATGTGTTTTATTTTGATATAGAATCTTCGGTACTGTTGCTCTAAGTTAACACTGTATAGCGTTGATGCATTTGCTAAGTCTACAGTTAAATAACCAATCATTTGATTTTTCTGGTGACAAATTTTATAAGAAATTCAATCACTGAATACGAAGGGGGAGCTACTGATCATTATCTCAGTAATCTTACAGAGAAACATATATGATGATGCACTTAGTAATGGCCTGTTTCCACCTCTAAATCTTGGATTTAGCAAAAGCTACATCCTGGAGAAGGAAGGAAGGAAGGAAGAGAGGGAAGGAAGGAGGGAGAGGGAAAGAGGGAGAGAGGGAGGGAGGGAGGAAGGAAGAAAGGAAGGAAGGACCAGGCTGAGAATTCAGGTTGTAAACAAGAAGGTTATCTGATATCTGCCCTGACATACTTAGGGAAGAGAGATCAAATTTGGCTGATTTGCTCCTTTGTTTACTTTTAATCACATAGTTTGAAATCATCTTATTGGACAAATCCCTTCAAAGTGTTTCTTTTTACTTCATTTAAAAGATAGGTTAGGTCCCTTTATGGAAATTTGAATTCTGTATTATAAGTGAATAAAGGATGAAATATGCAATTAAAAAAAAAAAGTCTGAATGGAAAAAAGGCATCTTAATGTGGTCATCAAACACCAGCTTGGGAAATACTGAAGACAAAAGCATGAATGAAGTCAGAAATGTTAACTGAAAGAATGGGTGAAGACTGATTTCCTTGGGGCTGGGTTTCCACAGAGCTGCTACCTGGCAGTTGTTGGTAGTATTTAAAGGTGCTTTTCCATTTTGCAAAGAGCCTAGTGCTGCAAAAGGAAAAAGAAACCTATATTCTGTTCACAGAATTCCGTCTGTCTGTGAAATGTTGAAGTTATCTCTGTTGAGAAGACGGGAAGGGTTTCTGCTGGGCTCCACGTCAGCCCCATTTATCCTGATCTTGGCTTCTCAATACAGGGCACTTGAGTTTGAGTAGCACTATGTCAGATCATCATGAATATTGAGTAAAGAGCTCTTAATTAGGTGAAAATCTCAAGTTTCCTGCAGAAGAGATGGCCTCTGTCAAGGGTTAATGCACTGGGAATTGTGGTTAATATTTGGCTGAATTCTATGGGCTAATATGTTTTCGTTTCATGCATACACAAGAAGATATATTCTTGAGATTTGTTTCTACATTAAATTTTGGTCAACTAAGTAAATTACTTCATGCTTTAGCAGAGACCATGATTTAAATAAAGGATCTTCCCCTTAACCTGTTACATCTGGTGAAGGTCATTGCCATTGACTGAGTTTTCAGGAAACACTGGATCCATGCTGTCTCTAGTACTTGGTTGCCACAGTGTGCTGTCACTCAGGTTTCTCTCAATTTTCCTATCAAGCTTTTGAATCTCCTCCACTACCACCCTGGTTCAATGGCTCATCATAATCTATTCAAGGCCATATAATGGCCTTCCTACATATATTTTGGGCATTAGTTACTTTCATATACTGTGAGCTCTAGAAGTACTCAAATATGCTTGTTCCACTTAATGTCAGCTGTAACTTACTATTGTCTTTAAGGGGTAAGTCTGAAATGTAATCCATGCTAACTTCTTCAGCTTTATCTCAGGCCATCATCTTTTAGAGAAAATGAATGTCTTGTTCTGCAAGAACCTAGCTTCATAGCTAGTTAAATAATTTTTTTGTGGTGCTGGGATTTGAACTCAGGACCTCATACTTGCTAGGCAGGTGCTGTGCCATTTTAGCCTTTCCACCAGCTCTTTTTCTCGTGTTGGGTGTTTTTGAGAGATGGTTTCATAAACTATTAACTCTGGTTGGCTTTACAGCATGATTCTCCTGATCTTTGTCTCCTGAGGAGCTAGGATTGCAGGTGTGAACCACTGGCACCTGGCTTAAATACTTCTTATATAGGGTATTGTGACTTAATTACAGAAGGACTTGCAATGTCTTAATTTATTGTACTTTTCATACTGCTTTACTTTCTCTGGATCAAGATGTGGCAGAATAATGGCAGAAATCTTTCCCCAAGAGGGTGAAACACTATAAAGGCACTGGACAACAAAGGTCACAGAAGTACCTAGTGTGCAGAAGGCAACTCCCAAGTTTGATGTCAGACAACAACCATGGGGGAATGGCAATGGAAGATAGACAGACTTATGCTTTTGGGCCTCACACATTCCTGTGGATCCCAGGGATTCTTTTGCTGCTGTACTACTGCTGTAACTGCTGTGCTTGCTATTCATGAAAGACACTTTCTGGCCCTTGACCTCCAACCCCACAACAGTGATTCCATCATCAGTACTAGCAAACTGGCTTGTCTTACCACCAAATATGAAATTATCTTAGCTCCACTAAAGGAATGTATTTCAGGGGTTTCAAAGACGTAGATAGGAATATTCAAAGACTATAAGAGACACAGATGCTTTTGTACAGAGTCTGCTTTTTTCTCTTTGAATTGGTTTTCCTTGTCATAGAAATTAGGTCCATTCACCCACACAGTCCCCCAAATCTTGCCAGAAACAAATGATCACTTGTGAAGCCCATGGGTTTTGATTTGTTCTATAACAAGTCCCCACACGAAGTCAACAATTGCAGGCTGTCACTGCTCTCCATGTAATAATGTGTTCAATGGAAGTGTAATTTCAGAGGTAGTCACAAAATAATCACTGGTTGCTGATTTGCCACAATTGTATAAATTGTAACATTGTTTTAATATAATCACTCACTATAAAATAATTTCATTTTATTACTGTTTTACATGATACTTCAAATGAAAGACTCATTTGGTAAATTATTGACCACAGAGGCTCTCAGATAAGACTTCTTTTTCTTTTTCCCCCTCCCTCTTCTTAGATGAGTTTTAGAGGAACAGTTTTCATTTCGTATTTGATATATCTTTTTAAATGTAAATATTAGTACTGTGTTTTAATGACTGCTGGGAAGCAGGAGCAAACATTGCTATGCAAGGCTATTTGTCTTCTGAGTCTCGATGTATGTCTTTAGAGACAAATTAAGTACTTGAATCATTTAGAAAGGAAAAAGTGGACTCCCACATACACACTTCCTGGAATCAAGAGGATGGTTTTCTCATTTATGTTTTTGGAAATACCAACTTCACTTGTAAATTTAAGGCTAGAATAGTGTAAGACTTTTCAATGTTTCTGGCCCCAAGCTACCAAGTTAAGTGTCAACCACTGCACAGTCTGTCAATAAGGGAAAAATTATCCTGAATTGTCATTTCCCCTTGATCAGGGCAAACCTGATGGTCAATTTAAAAAAATATCAAAAGAATCTTATTCAACCCTATTAAAATCAGCCATTCACCTTGATTCCCTTCACTGACACTCATTTTCTCTCTCATTTTAAGATCAGAGCAAGGGTGATACAAGTTCCTAAATCACACAAATCTGGCCAGTGTCCCACTCAAGGCCCCTAATTTGAAAAAAAATTGAAACTATATACTAAGTACTAGGTGATTAAGTGATTTTGTATTTTGCTTCATAATTCTGTTTCCAAAATACATAAATGCATGAATCTCTATTTCTGTATTTCAAAAATTTCTAACACATATACATTTAAAATTTTGGATGGGTAGAGTGCTAAGGTTTGAACTAAGGGCCTTGTGCTTGCTAGGCAGATGCTCTCCTACTTGCTTTGAACACCTCAGCTTATTTCACAGTTTGGTGTTGTGAACAGAACCTCAATTAACATTAGTATGCAGGTTTTTGTCTTTTGTAGTGACTTATCCTCCTTCAAATATAGGCCCATGATTGATTTGGTGAGGCAGAAGGTAGGTCTGTCTTTTAGTCTTTGAGGAACCTCTGTATTGATTTCCATAGAAGTTGCACTGGTTTACATTCCTATCAACAGTGTGAGTGTTCCTTTCCCCCCACACCTTCACCAGCATTTGTTGTTGTCTGTTTTCTTTTAGTATAGTTTTGATTTCCATTTCCTTTATGACTAAGGATGTTGAACATTTTTTCATGTATTTTTTAGCTGTTTGTATTTCTTCTTTTGAGAACTGCCTGTTCAACTCATTTGTTTATTAATTGAGCTCTTTGAGCTCAAAAAACTAAATAGCAAAAGAACAGTCTGTTGAATATCTGGCAAGGGTTTTTCTGTCATCCTGTGAGTTGTCTCTTGATTCTGATAATTGTTTTTGTTATTTGTTTTCTTGATGTGCAGAAGCTTTTTATTTGATACAATCCCATTTGTCAATTTTTACTGTTATTTCCTGGGCAGTTGGAGTCTGATTCAGAAAATAATTACCTATACTATATTGCTGTATCTTCCAGATTTTTACCATTTTTTCTATAGTAATTTCAAAGTTTCATGCTTTATGTTGAGATCATTGGTCAATATGGAGAGGATTTTTCTAGAGGGTGAGAGATTGGTGTCGAGTGTTAAGTTTTCTCCAGATAGATAACCAGTTTTCCCAATACCAGTGTTGAAAAGGCTGTCTTTTCTCTAGTGTTCCTGGCTCTTTTGTCAAAAATCACATGGCTATAGTTATATGGTTTTATTTTTGAGTCTTTTAGTCTATTCCATTGGTCTTCATATCTGCTTTTATGCCAGGACCATGCTGTTTTTGTTACTATGGCTCTGTAGTGTAATTTGAAGTACAGTATTGTGACAGCCCCAGGGGCTGCTCTTTTTTTGACTATTTGGAGTCTTTTATGCTTACATATGAATTTCAGGATTGATTTTTCTGTTTCTGCAAAGTATGACATTAGAATTCTAACAAGTATTACATTGAATCTATTGATTGGTTTTGGTAGTATAACCATTTTCACAATATTAATTCTGCCAATCCATGAACATGAGAGTTCTTCCCATCTTCTGGTGACTTCTTTAATCTCTTTCTTCAAGGTTTTGTGGTTTTCATTGTGG